TATTCCTGCATTCCTAACTCCTTACAATATGCCTGCTTTTTCCTATATAAGATGTAACCTAAGAATCAATAAACGAGACTTGATCAGAATACTGTCTTGTCTCCCATCTCTCGCGTCTCTTGCTTCCATCCAATTCCCACTCCCCCCTCCAGGGTCTGCGTTGAATATCCCGCGGGTCGGAACAGGGCTCCGGAATTTGAAACACAAATTTGGAAAACTAGCAGCTCCTGGTTAAATGACAAAGAGGAACTCTGGTTTGGGCCAAATAAAAAGCCTGTCCTGCCAGACTCCATGAGATTTCTGTTGTTAACTACTGTACATAATATAAGCCATTGGGCTGCAGAAAAGACATTGAGTTTCACATTTATGAAATAATTCTGATGGAGTAACATAAATAAAACTGTCAAAACTGCTTATCTGGCCTAGCTCACCTCTCCTAAATTCAATCCTGGAAAGCAAGTGTGCACAGCCTCTGGCCATTTTCACACCTACCTAATGGGTCATTTGTGGTTTGGCAGATGGATTTGATCCAGTTACCTCTCTCACATGGACACAAGTATGTTTTAGTTATGGTCTCTATATTCTCCTATCGGTTTGAAGCATTCCTCTGCAGACAAGCCACTGCCTTAGCAGTGACTACCCATACTATTAGAGAAAATAATCCCTACATGGGGTACCCCCATTGAGCTTCACAGTGGCTGAGGAACCCATTTTACCGGCCAAGTTATAAAACAAGTGCGTGCTATCTGGCCAATCCTGCAACACTTTTACTGTGCTTATCATTCCCAGTCCTCTGGACTAATCGAACATACAGTCTTACTCTTCAGACCCAATTGAAAGCTGGCCGGTTAGCTCAGTTGGTTAGGGTTTGATGGTGTTATGGCCAATATCTGATGGTTAAAAGAAATTTGCCCACGAGAACCGGGTGATAGGAAAAGGAAAAGAGTTTATTTCTGGCAGCCAGGGCTACGCAGGCCAATCGAGGAGCGCAGCCCCGAGTTGAAGCCTCTCGCGGCTTTTATTTTTAGCTAGGAGGGAATTTTTCACACCTGACACACTCTAGCCAATGCAAGCAAGCCAGCGGTACATAAGCTAATTTTGTGGTTAGCCCTGTAGCCCCTTCCCACCCTGGATTCCCCATTTATTTTAGCAAGCGATTTGTACAGAAGCAGAATGCATATGTTAAGGTCAGTAGGGGTTGGGGCATCCCTTAACATTCCCTCCTGTTGTTGTAGCTGTAGCAAGTCATTGCTATCTTAGGGGTGGAATTGTCCTTTTTCATCTAAGGGAAGTTGGTCATATTGGGATCTAAGTACCAACAGTTTGACGGATGTTATTTGTTCTCTTATGTGGTTAAGTTGGCTAGCAAAGGAAGCACTGTCAGTTTTGGGGCTCTTGCACTTATGCACATCCAGCAACCTTGGGCAAATGATGAGAAGCTGGATTGAGACTTATTTAATAAGTTCCAAGTTTCATTTATAAAAGTTTGGACCCGTTAAATGGGTTCTTATCTAGCTCTATAGCTGTAATAACCTGTATACTTGGGTTCTCATATAGCTCTATAGCTGTAATGGTTAGATTCAAAGGCGAGTATGGGAAGGGCTGGACTCGTATTTGGTCCACAGGAAGCCGCACGGGGTCTACAATAATGGTGGTCTCTCCCATGGTAACCTTATATTGTGTGTGGGGGGGGTTGGAGACACACATAGCACCCTCTTTATTTAGGCTGCTTTGGCCCAAGTAAGGTGTCCCAGAACCAAATGCAGTTTTGGAATTTATGCTGACTAACTGGTGGTGGGGCGGATCGGTGCAGTCATATGTGACATGAACGCATGTGGGGCTAACATAAGAAACGGCTTTTTCACCTTTTTCACCACAAGTTTTCTTGCAGCCCCCAAGTCTTTTTCGGACGGGCCTCCTAGAGAATTTTTTATGCACAAGACTAAGATAAGGAGTTGAATTTTAAAAAGCATGTTAAAGTCTCTTTAGTCTTATCTTAGTTGGGCCGTCTGTGGTCTGGACGGTCCAGCAGTCGGTGTTGGGTTTTGAGTTCGGTGCCGGTTTGACGTGAGTCCAATGTATCCAAGCGTCCTTTCCAGCAACCTTTACGGCTGTGGGCGTGCTGGGGATCACCGGGTATGGTCCAGTCCAGCGGGGCTGGAGGGACGAGGCAGTTAACTTCTTTATGTACACCAAGTCCCCAGGTTGAGGGATGGGTCCAGGTGGCTCCTGCTTTGGAAGGGAAGCGTTAGCATTTAGTTTGTTTCTGATTTGTGAACAAATCTTTTGTAGGGTTAGAAGTTCCCCCAAAATAGGGGCAGGCAGCTTTTGGGGGTCAGCCTCCGTTGGCACCCTGGGTAATAGGGGCAGGGGGAGACTGAGAAGAATTTCTTAAGGTGTGTATCCCTGTTTATATGGGGAATTTCGTACCCTTAATAGTGCAAAGGGAAGGAGGTCTACCCAGTTTTCACCAGTTTCTAAATGAAGCTTGGTCAAGGTTTCTTTTAAAGTTCTGTTCATGCGCTCAATCTGTCCTGAACTTTGAGGGCGGTAGGCGCAATGTAACTTCCATTCTCTTCCCAAGCATCTGGCCAACTGTTGGGATATTTGTGCCATAAAGGCAGGTCCATTATCTGACCCGAGGGTTACGGGTAGCCCAAACCGGAGTAAAATTTCATTGATTAATTTTTTTACTACTGTACAGGCTGTTTTAGACTTGGTAGGAAACGCCTCGACCCATCCAGAATACGTATCTACTAATACAAGCAGGTATCTGTATCCATACCTTCCAGGCATAACTTCAGTGAAATCAACTTCCCAATATTCTCCTGGAGTATTACCTGTTTGTCGAACTCCAGACCATCGATGAGTGACCTGTTTAGAGTTTACTTGAGTACATGCAAGGCATTGATTAGTTAATGATTCAACAATTTTTGATGTGTTATTAAAATTAAATGATTGTCTAATTAATTCTAATAGCTTTGTTTTCTCTAAGTGGGTGGCTTGGTGAATTTCATGAGCCAAGCATTGACCCATTTTTTTCTGGTAGCCATATGGCTTTGTCCTTTGATTCATACCACCCAGTGGTTATGTTTTTTTGGTATCCCGATGTTTCAGCCTTTTTTTCGTCTTCTGGAGAGTACTCAGGTTTTAGTGGCAAATGAAGTTATGGTAGCAAAGGTGCTATGATTGATGTCCCGGCTGGTTGTAGTGCCACTGTTTTAGCAGTCTTATCAGTGAAGTTATTTCCTTGAGTTTCTACAGTTGTTCCCTTTTGGTGTGCCTTGCAATGAATAACTGCAACCTTGGTTGGAAGCCAAATAGCTTCTAATAGTGCAAGAATTCCGGGAACATTTTTAATTGTCTTTCCTTCTGAAGTGAGTAACCCTCTTTCTTTGTAGAGGGCCCCATGTACATGTACATGTACA